TGAAAGTCACTCATGATTCCAGTCAACCCATTTGTAAATTCCATTGGATAATCTGAGAAAGATCAACATCAAGAGGTTTGGCTAAGGATTAGCTTGTAGAAAAAGAGGCTTTGGGTACCTAAGTTGTTATCTTTATGAAATATAGTTGTTTCTTTCATAAATAATTTTAGATATTAACATTTCCCAACTTTAAAAGGCAAGTGTGGTTACTCATTGATTTAACCCTCATGTGGCTCAAAAACTATGGTGTTTAGGTATTTAGTATCAATAAATCAAATCTTCAATACTATTTGCACTTTACCATGTAAATACTAATTTTGGTTTAACCTTCATATGTGATGTTTTTGATGGGTTCAACAGCCATAATTAGAGTTAATATTTGTATATGTTCATAGGGTAATAATTGCATGTGCCATGGCAAAGAAAAGAATTAGTTTATAAATGTTTTGTAGGTCACATATAAATTAGAAAGAGTTGCTTTATAAATGTTTGTTTTGTAGGTCACATATAAAATGAGAAAGAGCTACTTTATAAATGTTTTGGTAACATATCAAATGAGAAAGAGTTATATTATAAATGATTAGTAGGTTACATATCAAATGAGAAAGAGTTATATTATAAATGTTTTGTAGGTAACATATCAAATGAGAAAGAGTTATATTATAAATGTTTAGTAGGTTACATATCAAATGAGAAAGAGTTATATTATAAATGTTTAGTAGGTTACATATCAAATGAGAAAGAGTTATATTATAAATGTTTTGTAGGTTACATATCAAGTGAGAAAGAGCTACTTTATAAATGTTTTGTAGGTAACATATCAAATGAGAAAGAGTTATATTATAAATGTTTTGTAGGTTGTTATATTATAAATGTTTTGTTGGTAACATATCAGATGAGAAAGAGTTATATTATAAATGTTTTGTAGGTTGTTATATTATAAATGTTTAGTAGGTTACATATCAAATGAGAAAGAGCTACTTTATAAATGTTTTGTGGGTAACATAGCAAATGAGAGAGTTATATTATAAATGTTTTGTAGGTCACATATAAAATGAGAAAGAGTTACTTTATGAATGTTTTGTAGGTCACATATAAAATGAGAAAGAGCTACTTTATAAATGTTTTGTAGGTAACATATCAAATGAGAAAGAGTTATATTATAAATGTTTTGTAGGTTACATATCAAATGAGAAAGAGTTATATTATAAATGTTTTGTAGGTTACATATCAAATGAGAAAGAGCTACTTTATAAATGTTTTGTAGGTAACATAGCAAATGAGAGAGTTATATTATAAATGTTTAGTAGGTTACATATCAAATGAGAATGAGTTATATTATAAATGTTTAGTAGGTTACATATCAAATGAGAAAGAGTTATATTATAAATGTTTTGTAGGTTGTTATATTATAAATGTTTTGTAGGTTACATATCAAATGAGAATGAGTTATATTATAAATGTTTAGTAGGTTACATATCAAATGAGAAAGAGTTATATTATAAATGTTTTGTAGGTTGTTATATTATAAATGTTTTGTAGGTTACATATCAAATGAGAAAGAATTACATGATAAATGCTGCCATTTCAAGATTACAGAAATTTACTAACATTTTGAAGGTAAATTAAAACATCCAGATATATTGATCTGAGGAACGAATTAATTTGAGGAATGAAGCTATTTTGAATTCTGTCTGAACCTACTTCTACTCACGTAGAATGCATTTTGAACTCCAATTTGTTTTATTGACTGCTGATGTGCAAAACTCACCATTGGAGTGGTCCCTATTAGTCCAGTTAGATCAAGATGAATAGGAGGTTTAACACTGTTACCTCATTGATATTGTAGAAATGTCCACCAGGTATTATGAGAAATTGTGAAGAGTTTGAGAGATGTTTAGCTGATCTAATAATAATGTTAGCTCCATTCTCTCCTAT